CCCCCCCATTAAATCAACCTGAAATTAGGCAATAAATGTGGGAAAATAGCAAAACATAAAAAAATTTTTTTTCATATTTCTGTATACTTGAAAATATCCCTCCATATTTTTCTTTTTTTACCATATTTATAATTTTTTCTGTGAACTACTCACCACTTAGAGAATTGGGAGCATTTTTGCTAGGATTGCACTGAAATAAATTATTTAGTATTTTTTTCCTTATTTTTTTGTTCTCGTTGCCGATATTTTTCTACGGCTCCAACATTTATTTCGCTAGCCAAAGTGCCTGTGTAAAAGGGATTACAATTGCTACAACTACTACTCGAAATATTTTGTGAAGCAGTAGAAATTGTTTGATACTGTTGACTACAATAAGAACAAGTAACAATTATTTTATGAAGCGGTAAATGAATTTTTTTTTTCATAGTATATTTTAATTTTAAAAGATATCTAATTGTTCCTTAACTTTTTTTTCTTGTTCCCTTTCACCTCTTATCCATTTTCAAATCTTTTTTCAGAAAACGGCCACTAATAGCAGAGCCACTACTAAAAGGAAAAAGAAAATAATTCAGCCCGTAGTCGGTTGCAATTTATCGGTCTCCTCCTCAATTTTTTCACCTCCTTCGGCATGAGTAATTTTTATGGTTTCATAATATTCCGGTTGAATATCAATGCGGTCTTCGGAAAAAACGCGAGGGGTAAGACCAGTTTCGCCTTTTTTGTAAAAGGTTAGTTGCATTTTACCATTTTCCTCCGTAATATTAAATTCAATATTGCTGGACCGGTGGCCCTGTTTTTCATTGCGGTTAAATAATTCGGGTTTTTTTTCTTTTAGTAATTTTTTGTGAGCCTCCTTTATTTTTCGTTCGTATTCGGGCATGTTTTTTACCCTAATTGACCCATTTGATATATCTCAAGCATCCGATTTAGGCAACTGATATTCAACGTCCTCTACTTGGTTCTCTGAATACATACCAATTTCTCAACCAACTTTTATAATAATTACTACTTCGCTGTCAGTAGGAGAAATATAATCATACTCTTCGATTTCCTTTTCGTTTTTATCCAATATTTTCAGTTCATAATCCACTTTAGGGTCTTTTTCCAACTTAATTCTGCTTTCTGCCGTGCCAAGTTCCCGATAAGTAAAACCTTTAATTTCTTTCATACTTAAAATTACTTTTTGTTACTTTCATCCATTTTTAATCTTAAAAAACATTACTATTTGTTTTTGACCCACGGCAAATATTCTTATTTATTTTTAGTCTTCGCAAAACATTTTATCTATTTTTCTTCTTCTGAAAATACATATTCTTTCTGTAATTTCGGAGAGCAAAAGAGGAAACTTTTTTGAAAATGAGAAAAGATGACTCTTTATTATTTTTATCTAAATTTTTGACTTTTATCATTAAATTAATTTTAACTGGCGGTCCTGACGAGAATCAAACTCGCGATCTCCTCCGTGACAGGGAGGCGTGTTAATCACTCCACCACAGAACCTCTAATGGT